AAAGATTTTTATCCCCTGGTACTCCTTCCTACCCAGTAATCTTAGCTGTATCCCTGGGAGGTAAACTAAATCAAATCCAGTGGTTTTCCTCCAAAGAGCCCTTTAGACACGTGGCCCTGTCCCCTTGCATGGGTTCTTTTGCAAGCTGCCACACCCCTGGCTTCTCCCTTTTACCATGAGACTGTTGGCCTCAGAATGCACCATGGTGTGCGTATCTGTTCCCTTCAAGGCTTCCCTTGTTTTTTTTGAGTGTTTTGTTTTGTTTTGACTCGGGGTCTTGCTATGTAGCCCAGGCTGGCCTGGAACTCAGGGTGATCCTCCCGCCTCAGCCTCCCAAGTGTTGGGTTTGCAGGCATTGCACCACCATGCGCCGCACGTCGTCTTCCACTCTGGACTCTCCCTCCACCTTGGCGTTGGTTGCCAGCCTCCTCTGCAGCTGCAGCACAGCCAGCGGTTGGGGCCCCACCAACCAGACAAGGGGGGAGCCGAGTGCCCTAAGAACTACGGAGCACGCAGAATCCATTCCGCGAGAGGCAGCGGCAGCTCCGCGTCCTGTCGCAAACAGCTGTGGCAGCAGCTACAGGAGCAGCCTCCTGCAGCGGGTGACACCCAGAAGCGCCCAGCAGCGTCTGTATCAGGCTTGGCCGTGGGTGCCTCCTGCCATGGAGCCTGCTCCTGCCTGCACAGCCTGCGAGCTGCCTGACTCAGCCTCGTGGCTGTTTAAAAAGCTCCCCTGTGTTCTAAGAAAGTTCTGTCTGCTCGCTTCCATCCGGTACTTGAAACAGTGCCTCATGCGAAGGCGGGAGCGGCTCTGAAGTCCTCTGCCATCTTCGCCGCGGCCGTATCCCGCTGTGGCCAGCAGGTGGCGACGCTTCGGTCTCCTTCAGGCCGCCCGCTTGGCGTGGCCTCTTCTTCCCCTCCCACCCAAGCAAAGACTAGAGAAGCAACTTTTGTCAGCCGCTTCCGGAGCCTGTGCTCTCTGGCAAGAGGATCTAACATACCTCCTGCACTCCAGATCCACCTCCCCACCCTTCCTCACAGCCAAACCAGAGGGAGGGAGAGGGAAAGAGAGAGAGAGAGATCTGGGGCCACAGTAGCTGTTCCTTCCCACGTGGTGCCCGGGTCCTGAGTCTCTCTGAGCACGCGGAAGACAGGATACGCAAGTTGGAAGGGTCAGAAGTTATGTTCTAACCGTGGGATTAAAAGACCAGAAAAATATCTCTTCCTGCCCCCTAAAGATGTTCCTTTACAGACGACTTCCTTGCCAGTCCTAGGGTAGATGGAACACCAGCGTCAGGGTGATCCATCTGCCTTTTCCTAGTCACACCACCAGACACCTCTAGGCTTGGGACACACCCACCCTCACCGAGGGGAGCCCTGGCTTCCCAGAATCTCCACAGTCAGGATGCCCTCTGCCTTTTTTGTCAGGCCACTCCGTGGTAGGAGTCTTCTAGTTTTTGTCCCCCTTGAACCCTAAAAGAATGTATAAAAATGATGCAGCTCCTTGCATACTATTAAGCGATGTCTAATATTTTTCATTACCTTAAAACTTGTAAATCATTGAAGAGGATCGATATTATTTCTAGTGTCTTATAAATATTGACATTTTATTTTATTTACTTATTTTTTCCGGTACAGGGAATCAAACTTAGGGCCTTGTGCTTGCCAACCAGGTGTTAGCACCACTGAGCTACATCCCTGGCCCAAGATTAGACATTTTAAAGTAAAACTGCTACTGCACAAGAAAGACTGTAATCCTGCAGTGATTTCATACAACCATCCTTTGAAAAATATATGAGTAGGGCCGGGGATTTAGCTCAGTGGTTCTGCCGCCTGCCTCGAAAGCACAAGGACCTGAATTTGATCCCCAGTACCAAGAAAAAAGGAAAGAAAGAAAAACATATGAGTACACTTCACATTCATTAGCAGAGGTTTTACACTGTCCTTTTCCCACCTATTTGTATCTGAAGTACACTATCTTCTCAGAAAGCTAACTGTAAAATAACCTATTCTTTTTTTTTTTTTTTTTTTTGGTATCGGGGATTGAACTCCGGTTCTTGCGCTTGCAAGGCAGGCCACTGAACCCCTGAGCTAAATCCCCGGCCCTAAAATAACCTATTCTTATGCTTATGTTGAAAGTTTTCTAGTGATCACCAAAGCACGTATCTCTGTAACCAATATATATATATACATGTTGACTTTTTGTTTTGTTTTGTTTTGGGGGATCAAACTCAGGACCTCGTGCTTGCCAAGCAGGTGCGGTGGCACTACTGAGCTACACCCCAGCCCTTGTTTGTTTTGAGACAGGATCTTGCTATGTAGTTCAGGCTGACCTTAAACTCACTAGTAGCCCAGGCTGACCTCAAATTTGCAGCAATCCATCTGCCTCAGCCTCCCAGAGAGGCTGAGATTATAGGCGTGCGCCACCACGCCTGGCCATGTTGAAATTTTGAAACCATGAAACTCTAAGTGAGCTGGGTGTGGTGGCATACTCCTGTAATCCCAGCCCTCTGGGAGGCTGAGGCAGGAGGATCACAGGTTTAAACCCAGCCTAGGCATTTTAGTGATTTATGGAGAACCTATCTCAAAAACTCAAAACGGCTGAGATGTAGCTCTGTGCTGAAGTCCAGAGTTCAATCCCCAGTACTGCTAAATAAATGGGAAGGACTATATGTTGTCGGTTGATGGACAGGGGCCTTCACACTGCTACATACCCTAACTCCCAATTCTAACCTTACCTCTTTTATTTATTTGTCAGATTTTCAGCAACCCTCCTGCCTCAGCCTCCTAAGTGCTGGGATGAGAGGTGTGTGCACCACCACACCCAGCTAACCCTTCCCATTTTGAAAGCAGAGATTTGGAAACCCCCTGACTGGAATATGAGAGGGGTTTGTTGCTCAGCTTTTGCCTTCCACCTTCTCACTACTGTCCCAAACCGCTACGTCATTCTGTGTCCCAGGCACACAACCCTGGGGGGGTCCACTATTGAAAGAGTGTGGCTAGCTGAGGGGTGAATCCGCCCTTTGAAAGCAGGGAAGGTGAAACAGTGAAAGGGGAAAGCAATTTTGGTGAAGAGAATACTTGAAGTTGAAGACCTGCAAATAGATTTTCTTCAGCCACTGTGGACTCTTGGGATGCCCTACTCCAATTAGATCTTTAACCCTCCCATCCAGGATCCAGAGTCCAGACTTCTTGTGTTGTGCTTCTTTCTTTTCTTTTCTTTCTTTCTTTCTTTTCTTTTTTTTTTTTTTGAGGCAGGATCTCACTAAACAGCTCAGGATGGCCTTGCACTCATCCTGCCTCAGCCTCCCGAGTGCTGGGACTGCAGGTATGTGCCACCACACCCAGCCCTATTTGGTTTTTTCATGCTCTTACTTTGTTTTCTTTCCCACTCTACCCCTTCCTTTCTTCTTTCCAGTCTTTCTTCTTTCTTTTCTCACTTTATTGCTCAAGCTGGCCTTGGACCAATATCCTCCTGCCTCAGCCTCCCAAATAGCTGGTATAGGTGGTATAGGTATATACCACCAAGCCTTGAATGCTACTTTCCTCTTTGTTTCCTTGTCTTGTTCTGTTTTGAGGCAGGTCTTGCTACGTAGCTCAGGCTGGCCTCGAACTTGCCACACAGCCCCTAGTAGCTGGGATTACAGGTGTGTGCCACCACGCCTGGCTCTACTCTACTTTTTCACTTGTTGAAAACCGAGGGCTGGTCTAGGAGTATAGCTCAGTAGCAGGGCATTTGCTTAGCCCTGGGTTCAAACTCCAGCACCACCACACCAAAAAGAAGCTACTCCAATTCTAGTTCTAACCCTAAAACTTCCCTTTTCGCTGACTTTCCACACACTTCGAGTCTTGACTTCCCTTCCCATTTCTGAAATCTGCATTGTGTTCTATGTGCAGCTGTGTTGTGACACCTGACACTGCAATGAAGTTCCTTGTGTGCAGAGATCTCGACGACTCGCCAAAGATGCGATCTGTAATATCAGATGACAGACAAGCTCCAGAGGGCAGGGACGCTGTGTGCCATCGCTCCCTGCCCAGTAGCTCACACCTGTCGACACCAGGCATCTGAGGCGAGCTTAGACAACATTTGCTGAATGGATGGGCTTGGGTGTGAATCTTAGCCACGCCATCACTTTGCTTTTAGCTGTGTGACATCGCCATTCATTCAGAATTGATTTATATATTCATTCCATAAATGTTTGTTGCACATCTCCTAAGAGACAAGCAGTATACTAAGCACTGGGGACGTAGTTGGAGATGTGGCTCCTGCCTTTGAGGAGCTCGACATTTAGTTACAAAAGCTCCCGGGCATGGTGATGCATGTCTATAATCCCAGCACTTGGAGGCTGAGGCAGGAGGATCTCTGCAAGTTCAAGGTCAGCCTTGATTCTATGGATGCTGCTGCATGATTAAGGGGAAAAGGACAGCCAGAGTGAGGCCGAGAGGGAGAGGACAGCACTGCCACTGGACCGAGAAGGTAAGGGCGTTGGAGCCTTTGGGGGTCAGAGTGCCATGTGTTTCATGCCATATATTTTTTTTGGTACCGGGGATAGAACTCGGGTCCTTGTGCTTGCCAGGCAGGTGGTGGAACCACTGAGCTAAATCCCCGGCCCTTCATGCCATATTTGTGAATGTGAACTTGACTATTAACACTCTTGGTAATCCCAGCACTGTGGGAGGCTGAGGCAGGAGGGTGACAAATTTGAGCCCAACCTGGGTAAAGCAGTGACTGAGAACCTGTTACAGATAAGAAAAAAGGGTTGGGCATGTAGCTCAATGCCAAGGCCCTGGGTTCAATGCTCAGGAACACATATGCACAACCACACGTGTATATACACACACACACACACACACACACACACACACACACACACAGAGGCTGGGTTATAACTCTTATCTGGTTGGGAGGTGACAAGGACCAGCGTGAGGCAGTGGCTATGAGACATGGCACCACAAGGGTAGATTTGAGAGTAACTAAGAAAGTCCGAGCAATTGGAGTTATTGATTTATTAGATATTGGGCAAGGTGGAGAAGGACTCGAAGGTCAACACCCAGATGAAAGATACCAAGGCCTCAGCCACAGCATGGCCCAGTGTATGGAAAAGAAGACAGATGTGAGGATACAAAGGAGAGACAACCTAATGGATTTGATGATAGGTTTAGAGAGAAAGAAAATCTTTTTAAGTTCCAGATAACCAGATCTCTCATCTGAGGTAATAAGGTCAGTGAGTCAGAGAACAGGAGAAGAAAAGCAAGTTTGGGAAGGGTGCCTGATCTCCCTGAGCCTTAATTGTCCAGTTGCAAAATGACAGCAGTGAGAATCCAGCCCTGGGGGTTGTGGAGAATTAAATAACCAAAGAAATCACCAGGCAGAGAGCAGATGCTCAATAAACACAGTGGCGGATACTAACCCTAGTTCTCGTGCTAAGCACGCAGTCCTCACACGGCCTCTAAAGCAGGCACAATTATCTCCACTTCACCAGCGTGGAATCTACAGTACAGAGATGTGAGGGAGGCCGGACAAAGTCATCCTCGGTCCCCGGGCGGCAGAGCTAGGTTCAGAACCCAGGCAGCACAGTTCCAGAGTCCAAATCCGAACCACTGCCAGACTCCAGGGAAGGAGGGAGAAGTGGCTGAGATGTGGACAGACCTGAGCCGGTCATTCTTTCCCAGAGTGGTTTTTATTTAGAAAAATGCCTCCATAGCTTGGTGGCAGCCGGGGGCAGATGGCCCTTGTCTTGTCTGTCCGTTCTGTCCCTGCCCAGGTCATTGGGTCCTCGAGGCCAAGCTCTGAGGCGTCAGCATCCCGGACAGCCCCGCGGTCTGGGCCTGGGGCGATGGGAAGCCCACCCGGTCCCAGCGCGGTGTCTTCCGGTGGGAGGGCCGGGCTCCTGGCACCCGACCTCACAGCCCTCTCCTAGCAGGGGCCAGTGTCACCCACAGGCCAGCTGTGGCCAGGCCCCGGTAGACGTGACATTGGTAGGAACAAGGGGTGAGGAAGGCTAATTTTCTGGTGCTGGATCCAGTTTTTCTTCCAGAGAGGGTGAAGCTGGGGCGGGAGTCTTGTCCCCACCATTGAGGGGCTTCTGCTGCTCACTCCTGTTAGGTGAGGAGGTCCGATTTCTCTGGGATCCCCATCGGGTCAGGCGCTTCAGGGAGGAGTCGCGGCGGGCAAGCACCGGGGGTTGGAAGCCTGAGAAGGAGCTGCTGGTGACCGGGCGCTTATCTGGCAGAGGAGGCAGACAAGTGAGAAGAAAGGCGCATGCGCGGGGCGAGGCGGGGCGCGGACCTCCAGGCCCTGGAGATCGGGGGTCTCCCCTCTCTCTTTTCCCTCTCAACCCAGGGGACGCTGCCCTCTCGGCCCCTTCTCACCTCCAGGCTCGATCGGATGCATGAGCCTGTTCATCTGGACGTTCCAGTGTTTCACATTGGTGCTGGCCTGGCGCAGCTTCCGCTGGGCAGCCTGCGGGGGGCCGGTGGGAGGTGGGTCAGAACCACTGTCCCCACTGGGGATGCCGACCTTTTCAGGGGCACAGCCTCTAAGAATGTGACCGAGACTACTGAGCATCTCCCTAGAAAACCCACGGATGTGCAGAAATGAGGAACAGGGACACAGAGATTTACAAATGGGAAGGGGACAGAAAAGAATGAAGATGTGTTGTGCACGTGTACCGACCCCCACGATGAAGGTGATCACGCACTGCAGGCGAGGACGGAAAAAATACAACTTAAAAAGCAGAGTTCCAAGATTCCACTGCCTGCCTTGCAAGCACTAGATCCCAAGTATGATCTTTGGTACCAAAAAAAAAAAAAAAAAAAAAAAAA